CTAACAGCAGACTTTTCCATCGCAATACGTTTTTTTATTTCCTTCCTGCTGGTGCCAAGAGTGTTGACTGTGGAGCTGAGCAAACTGAAACTGTGAACAATCTCAATCTCTTCGCCATCCATCCTGATGCTACCAATTGGTCCGGTGGTGAGAATCTTTGTCTTCTTGACATTGAGCCTCAGTGTTTAAATGTAAAAGTGGGGGGAAAAAACACCAACCCAACTACAATAAACAAAATTGACCCCAGTCATAATGGAAAATCTAAATACAGCTGTTTTCATAGAACATGGTCAAGAGCATTCCCAACAACAATAAAAAGCACCAGGTTCCTGTGGCCTTACAGAAGATTCTGCCTAATGTTTAAAGGTCAAATATGGCTTTACGTTCCCCCCCACCTCCTCATTCTCCCATACCCCTTCCACAAGGCATTCCAAGCACTGGAAAAGAAGGAAAACAGTTTTTGGTTTTATGAAGCAGGGATATTAAGACCACAGCCTGACAAAGGTTGCACAAAAAGAACAATACCATATGTGAACTCCAGTGTAAAAAAATCTGCAATAAAACAATGGGTTTTATTCAACATTGGTAATTAATGTTATAAAAGAAATTGCTATCAAAAGGGCAACACTCGCTCAGCATTTATTAAGCTGAAGGAGTTGAAAAACAATCAAGCCATAGGTGGCAATACTTAAAGATACTTTGGGTAGAATGTTAAATGGTCCAGAAAGCATTAAAAGAAGATGGAAGGAGTACACAGAGTCACTGTATCAGAAGGAATTGGCTGACATAGAAGAATTTCATGAAGTAACATATCAGCAAGAGCCTGTGGTGATAAAGGAGGTAGTTCAAGTTGCTCTGAAGGAATTGGCACAAAACAAGGCTCCAGCAGTTGGCGGCATACCAATTGACATATTTCAACAAACAGACGCTGCACTGGATGCACTCACTAAGTTGTGCCAAGAAATCTGGAGGTCAGCCAGCTGGCCAACTGACTGGAAAAGATTGATATTTGTTCCCATTCCAAAGAAAGGTGACCCAATAGAGTGCGGAAATTATAAAACAATATCATTGATATCACATGCAAGCAAGATTCTGCTGAAAATTATCCAAAAACTATTGGAGCAATATGTCAACAGAGAACTGTCAGATGTGCAGGCTGGGTTTAGAAGAGGTAGGGATATTACAGCTAATGTTAGATGGATCTTGGCAGAAAGCAGATAATACCAGAAGAATGTCTTTTTGTGCTTCATTGACTATACAAAGACTTTTGACCTTGTGGATCACAAGTTATGGCTGACTCTGAGAAGAATGGCAATCCCAGAACATTTGATTGTGCTAATGCGAAACCTATACTTGGACCAAGAGGCAGTCATCAGAACACAGCAAGAAGACACTACATGGTTCAAAATCAAGAAGGGGGTCTGTCAAGGATGTATCTTGTCTCCATACCTTTTCAATCTGTATGCAGAACAGATCATCGGAGACTCTGGGCTGTACAAAGAGGAATGTGGCATCAGGATTGGTGGAAGAGTCATCAACAACCTGTGTTATGTAGATGACACAACCCTGCTTGCTGAAACCAAGAAGGACCTGAAGCGCTTTCTGCAGAAGGTCAGGGACTGCAGCCTTCAATATGGATTGAAGCTCAACATCAAGAAAACAAAGATTCTCACCACTGGGCCAATTGGCAGCATCAGTATGGATGGTGAAGAGATTGAGATAGTTAACAGCTTTAGTTTACTTGGCTCCACAGTCAACACTCTTGGTAACAGCAGCCAGGAAATCAAGAGATGAATTGCATTGGGAAAGTCAGCTGTGAGGGACCTCTCAAGAGTACTGAAGAGCAACGATGTCAGACTGGAGACTAAAGTGTGCCTGATCCGGCCTATAGTCTTCACAATTACGTGCTATGCATCAGAGAGTTGGACAGTGACTACGGATGATAGAAAGAGAATGGATGCCTTTGAGCTGTCGTGCTGGAGAAGAGTGTTGAATATACCATGGACTGCTAGGAGAACAAACAGGTTTGTCCTGGAGAGGGTGAAGCCGGAGTGTTCCTTGGAGTCAAGGATTCTGAAGCTTCAGCTGACATACTTTGGGCATGTTGCAAGGAGGGACTGGTCCTTGGAGAGTGATATCATGTTTGGGAGAGTGGAGGGACGGCGCAGGACAGGAAGACCCTCGATGAGATGGATCGATTCTGTGACTGGAATGGTGGAAATGAATGTGTTTGAGATGGCGAGGTCGGCACAGGATAGAGCGGCCTTTAGGGCACTTGTACATAGGGTCACTACGAGTAGTCGCAAGTGACTCGATGGCACATAACAACAATCAATGATTACATGAAAAATCATTAAGATTTGCAAGCCTTCGGTATTGCAGCACAACAGATGATGTAACTAAATAAACACAATGAAGTAGAAAATTTGGGGGAGAAAAAAAGATTTGCAAGCCTTCACTCAAATTGGAGAAAACAAAAATAGCAGGTTTAAACCAGTGGAGATTAGGAAGATGGGGTCAGATTAGTCAAGCTTTCGTTTTACTACACATTGCAGAGCTATGAGTCAGAGCTTGGCTTGAGGAGACCTAACGCCAACAAACAAACAAACAAACCCCTGGGTATAAATTCTTGATCTCTAGCATAGGAATTTGAAGCCATGAATAAGACTAGAGTCCAGCAACACAAGATAAAGAAAATGAAAAATGGGCACAGGATATGAACAGACACTTCACCAAAGAAGACATTCAGATAGCTAACAAGCACATGAAGAAATGTTCAAAATCCCTAGCTC